TGCCCTGGGATACATATTTACCCTGTGGCAAGTGGCAGAACATATTAACACAGCTGTCAACATTAAAGGCATTACTAACACATGGAAGACAAGCAGATGGAGGAACATTGTCATCTTCCTCAAATTACAATAGTATCTATGGACAGTATGAGATAATACAATATTGTCCTAAGTAGCAAAAAAAAATAAAAAATCATTAAAACATTTTCAGCATGAACAACAGAAGAGTATACTATACAGGCCCAGTCTCTTCTCAGATGTTCAGATTTAGTTTATTAGGTCATCCTGGTAAATTTTTGCTAGGATCACTACATCAAATGAGAGAGAAAGTTTTATCCACTCCACAATCTGTTATTTTCTGCTGCCATTCAAATTATAACAGCTTGGACACGGGAAAAACTTCCTCCCTCTTTGCTTTTTCAATGTGAACAGATGGTGATATTTTAACTGATTGTGCTTTCAGAATTTTCCTCCTTTTACAGGTCCTTCAAAATGTTTTAGTAAACTGTTTTGCTTAGTTTGACAGAAAGGAGGAACGAAATTCTTTAATGTACTGATTTATGATTCTTAAAGCTGCATTAGATTTTGATATACTAGTGTGATAATTATACAAAATATAGGCCCTAGCATTTTCTTTGTAAATAGTATAGCAACTAGACAGTACCAAAATGTCTTTCCATAAGAGTATTTCTTTTGGACTAATACATTAGGAATTGGTTTATAGTTTTAATCATAGTCATCCTAAATGTCTGTACAGTGTAGGGATTTTTCTTTCATTTAAATGTCTGACATACTTTATTCCCATACAAAACAACAACAAAAAGCCCCTCTGCTTTTAATTTCCTAATCTGAGAAATATATTGCTCAATACATTTAGGATGAACGTTGCCAGCCATACTTTTCGATTCGTTTTGATTCAGATAATGCACACATAGGTAAAAGCATCACAAATCTGAAATTTATTTTATAAGTGAGTGGTCCACAAGACACCTCTTATTTGTCCTCCCTGCAACACAGTGCATAACAACAAGATTTCTAATATGTTATGAAATCAGCAGCGTGAAAACAATCTTATGTACAGTAATTCCTCATTTAACACTATAGATATGTTTCGGAAAATGATCGTGTTAAGTGAAAATGTGTTATGCAGGGTCAATTTTCCCACTGACAGTAATGGAAAAGGTGGGGGTTGCGTTTCAAGTGGTGGTGTCTGTTGGGACCGGGACATAAGGTTGGGGAAGACAGGGGACTGGGTTACAGCATGGGGGAAGGGGAAAGGGAGGAGAGGGGAGGGGGATTGGCTTGGGAGTATGCCCCTGTGACAGGTCTGCCGGGACCTGCACTGCATCTGGCAAGGGGGAGTCGCCGGGGAATGGCGCGGCGAGCGGTGAACCCTCCGCCGCTTTGCAGGGAGGCGGGGGAAGCCATCAGCAACAGGCCAGCTGGGGAAATCGTGTTATTCCGGGGATGGTCGTGTAATTCAAAAAATGTTCCCTAAAAAAAAATCATGCTATCGTGAAAACGTGTTAAGCGGGCACGTGTTAAATGAGGAATTACTGTAATTACTCCCATCCATTTTTTGCTAGCTAACAAACAATCACTCTTCTTAATGCTGAAATGTCTATATATGATGTTACATTAGGATTTCAAAGCCATGTGCACATTGTAGAATGAATGTGTACAATAAAATGGATTAAAGTTTGGCTCTCAAACATACATACTTCCCAGAGTAAATTTACTTGCAGAGATTATTAGGGTATAAACTATTGGACTATGAAGTTATGCTGATTGGATCAATCTCTTCCCTCCCATCTCATCCCATTATAATGTATAAGGTTGAGTATACAAGCCCTCAGCTTTACAACAATATTTTCATATCCTTTAACCATGAACACATTGATCCTCAATTTGATTTAAAAGTTGTTTTAAGAAGAGACATGTTTGAAGAAGCTGTTAGTGTTCAATGCTTTTGGTGCACAGCAAAGGCAGCTAGAAATAATGTATGTTATTAAGTTAAGCTGCAGCCCTCCCATGTAGCTACTGAAGGCCATAAGTAATTTTTAATACGATTAATATAGTTTCCCCTGTGGTTGAAGATTAAATGTACTCCTATTACAATGGCATATAGTTTACAGAAACTTTCAACTTATTCTTTTTTGTATTGTTTACATTTATACAACGGTAAAAACACAAGATAAAAGGGGAAAGTTGTTTTAAAGAATATTAGTCTTTAAGTTGTCCTTACACAGAAACACAAGATTAACTGATACTATGAAGTTCATTTAAAACAGATTTTCAGTAGACCTCAGAAAGTTGCAAAAGGATATAAAAATCAGGATTACTTAGAAAGATAACAGAACAGGTACATTACAGCTAATTAACACAGGCTACTCTAAAAGGGCTTTCAGGACATTTCCCACAGAAACAATATCAAGTTACATCAGTGTGATATGAATGACAAAAATTCACTAGTTGTGCTCATACTGATACACACATGCCAGTGATGAAATGT